CGAATATATATTTGTTTCTGGGTTTGTGATTGTATGTATTCCTGTTGTTTGTGTGTTTATCGTATAACTTCGTATAATGTATGCTATACAAAGTTATTACTATATATATATATATACACACACACGCACTCGTATAACTTCGTATAATGTATGCTATACGAAGTTATTACGCACACACACACACACAGACGAAATAACTTCGTATAGCATACATTATACGAAGTTATACGAATATATATATATATGTATGTATACATATATATATATATTGTAATAACTCTTTATAGCATACATTATACGAAGTTATACGAAACAAGACTGATAAGGGAATAAATAAACAAATAAATATATGGATAAACATGCATGTTTGCGTGTATGTGTGTTCTCATATATATATATATAGTAATAACTTTGTATAGCATACATTATACGAAGTTATACGATAAACACACAAACAACAGGAATACATACAATCACACACCCAGAAACAAATATATATTCGTATAACTTTGTATAATGTATGCTATACGAAGTTATTACGTGTGTGTGTGTGTATTTATATATATATATTTGTTTCTGGGTGTGTGATTGTATGTATTCCTGTTGTTTGTGTGTTTATTCATTTGCGATCTATAATTCCGTGGCAATTATTTCTAGCTGATGGACTGTCGCTGTGAATATTGTTTCTTAAAATACCAATTGTTCAAATGTTTCTTCTTTCATATGATTACGCCTTCTATAGTCACTTTCTAGAGAGAATTAAGTTTCTGAGTAGTCAATTTTCTATTCATATAAATACATTTAATTGCTGCTAAGCTTCTCATCCAATCACATATACAAGCTAAGGAATAATACTATTAATGATAATCAATAATGTTCCAAAAAAATATGGTTCAGAACTCACCCAACTCACCAGTATTCCTCAGTCACGAGGGATATATATTTAACCTCCTCATGAGTACTAAGGTTTTTCCACTATCCCTCTGTCCTCCAGCAGGCCTCATTGGCGATCTATTTAAAGGAAGTAAGGAAAAAGCCAATTGCTCAGACTGCGCTAGTGAAATAGTCTTTAGTCTTGACGTCTCTGCATTTGACTTGTATTTACCGCAAGTTTAGTTTTATTGACATACAGATTATATTATCCATAGGCCAGTTATCCTGTATTCCAGTTATTCTCATACGTTTTGTAGAGATACTTGCTTTCATGACATCTCCTTTTAGTGGTATATACATATTATTTTAGAGTATAGAAGTCTTAAGAGAGATTAAAAAAAAAAAAGAATTATGATTATATATATTCTTTTCATACCATCCCTTGGTCTGCTTCTGCCAAACACAATCCATCACGCCTCTTTCTAGTCTACTGGGTCGCACAACTCCTGCACAAAGATCCTCTTTTTATTCTCTCTCGTTATTATTATTTATCTCTCTCTCTCTCTCTTTCGTAAATCCCTCTTAATTCTTTGTGGCTTCTCAGCACTTCGTTATAAGATGTATGATTCTCACTCTCTCTCTCTCTCTCTCTAATTATATGTACATATATATATAAGTATCGTGGATGCTGCTTTTGTATTTATATATATATATACTGATTATTTTGAGTTCTTTGCACCCGAAGTCCCCCTTTCTGCAACAATACTCATGCTGCCTGTTCTACTGTATGGATAAGAGTTCTTTAACCTCATTGTGGTGCGTCCTATAAGCACATCCCTGGCTGATTTGTGTATGAGAATGCGCCTTGATCTCCACTGCAGTTGTAAGGTCAAACAGATGCAATTATGAAGCATTTTGTGGTGCTGACATTACAAGGAGAAAAAAAATTATACATTCATGATACATGTAAATATAAGAGCCATACACACACACACACATATACACACAAATAAACACATACATATACAGACAGACACACACACACATACAAAGACACACACAAACTAACAAACGAACACACATACGCAAACACTACACAACACAGAACACACACACGCACAAACACACACACACACACACACACTCACACACATACACACACACACTAACACACATACACACACACACACACTAACACACACACAAACACACACACACACACAAACACCACACACAAACACACACACACAAACAAACAAACACACAAGCAAACAAACACACACAAAACAACAACAAAACACTGTTACTTCACCCAAATGCTATATTCGCGCAAACCAGTGACCAGAACTAAACTATTTTCACTAAAATCTATCAGCATCCAACAAAAGGCTCTCAGGACAGTCTTTATTGCATAATCAACAAAAAAACAGCAACAAAAACAATAACAGGCACCCCCTTCTTTTATTCTCCATAGTTGAAACATTTTTTTTCAAAATTAGATATACACAATGATCAAAGTTAACTTATGGTTATTGCACTACTGTACATCCCCTTTTTAGACAAATATTATGATAGATATGGCAAAATGATTACATTGACTATCTCCAAATAATAATAAGGAAAATTT